CGCCGGGGTAACTCCCTCAAATGCCTCGTCTCATTTTGTGTGTCTTTCTGTCTTCGTGTTTATTGTTCATATAAATAACGCTCTGCGATGTTTATGATAACACCCGAATAGCACAAAATAAGCCGTTGTTATTTTTTTTGTTTTTTTTGAGAGCGAGAGGTAGATCTCCCCCGTCCAGTCTGTTTTTACCCGTTTGCCCGACAACCGGGCCCGATGTTATCCGGTGAATGAACACGTGCAGGACCACCACACACATATGTTATATGTTATGTTATGTTTCCCCGAATTACCGTACGGGTTGTATAATGTGAAACGGTTCGTAAGGCGTGTCCGCAATATTGTTTTGTTTTTCTTTTCTTTGTGATTTGTAAGTACAGTTGTTATTTACACCTTTCACATATGAACTCGTACTGGCCTGCGAGGAGGAGACGTAGCTACCCTGCAACCACGAGCAGTGCGGTACACAACCACGTGTCCACGGAATCAGAGTGTATACTCAAAGACCCCTTTTCTACCCTGGGTTGGTAATTGTGGTGTAAGTAAAAATTCAAAATACATCGAACGACGACATGAACTTGATTGTCATTGGTTCACAGTGTTAATCGACGATCGTCAGAACTCCGTACCGTAAAAACAGTACAGCAAACTACTCCTGTATTTATTAGAAACGTTGATACCTTAACAGTACTCTAAGCCGCGGGTTCTATAAGAATACAATAGGAGTCCTATTTTAACAGGGATTTGGGATTGGGATTTTTGTATTGACAAGTATACTACAAAATGGTTTTGTTTTGTAGTCAGGTTTAAGTTTGCACAGGTTTTTGTATAACAAATAAATACTGGCTTTATTGAAGTTTCATCCGGTCGTCCGGAGTCGAACTTTAATCGGTCGAACTACAATCTGCCGGGACGATTGTGCGATTTTGATTATACTTTTACCTTATGTACCTTATCGTAATACGGACGATTTTGTAGTATCAGTCCCAAGTAATATTTGAACTAAAATTTACTATTAGAAACGCACACATACCACGCTATAGTACGTTTAATTTATTCTTTGAGGGGTGATCGAAGATAAGGTCCAGGTTAATAAACACTTGAAAAGGTCCTCGGTTCCAACCAATAAAACCTAACCTTAGTTTTTTACTTTTACAACACACTTCCACCCACTTTTACGGGGGGACACCCCTATTTTGTTTGTAGTCTACATTGGACAACAACAACCGGCAACGGGGGTACCTACTACTGGGACCCGTGGTCTGTCAGCCGACGACCGTCTCTACCATTCGTAGGTCGAGTTTGTCTCTCCGTTACAGCAAGGTACCCCTTGTCTTTGGTCCCACTTTCGTTAGAAGAGACGACGAACCACGAAGGAGAATCTCTTGTTTCACAGACAGAGTAAGACTGTTTTGTGTGCTTGTCACTTTAATGTAGACATCAAATTTCGAACTTACCGTTTCTGTCAATTTAGGAAGTAGTTACAGACTGTGTCACCCTAATAAGAGCGCGACTGTTAGAAATTTGTATATCGTGATTTATGAGTCAGGTAAAGTTCCGAAATTTCTTTTTTGACGTAGTCTTTCACCAAGTGGTACTCACACAACATTGGACAACGTACAGTTATATAGAATGAAAACCCGTCCGTGCGTGTATGATATGTATGTATGTATTATGGTACTGTAAGAAACTAGTATCTTATTATTACATTGCGCAAGAAGTAACTAAGTAGCAATACTAATACTCCAGAGATATTATTTTTTTGGAAAATCTCGGACTTAAATGAAACACAATACTTTAACGAATAAAACGAAAAACATTTATTTTTTACATAAACATTGTTTATATGTTACCACATTAATTTCCCTTCCTTTTAATCGGTTTGAAAACAGACTTTAGATTACGGTAACTGACCAATTCGGATTAGTTTACATGAGCTACCAGTATAAACTATCATCTAACTTATAGAAAAAAAAAATCACACCAACTCATTTTGTTTGTATATATAGGTGTAAATCTGAAACCTTTGAGCGTACAAGACTATTAAAATGCCTGTTTTACTATCTAGTCTTTATTGGGGTAAAGATTATTTTTTCCATGTCTTTTTTTCCGTGTAAAAGGATTTAAACATATCGAAACGTTTTATAACCATTTATTAAATCGTCGATACCGTAGTTGTTACTTTGATATTTTGTCCTTATAATATCACCTCACAATGTTATTGAATTTACAGGATGACAGGCGATTACTAAAGTTATCACATCGACGATTTCCGTCAAACGTGTCGTCCTATTGGGATAACACCAAAAGCACGGGCGTCATTCCCAGTTTTACATATAGGACGTGCGTGTGTAAAATGTAACAAGTATTTAACATAACAAACGTTTTAAGTTGTCGGATTAAGTTTACTTGAACAATACAATCATCAATCATTCCGTAAGTTCCGCTTCGTATTTGTACAAGAAAGTAAAAAATTTTCTTGATCACCTTCTCACGGGAGAACACTTCACTGCCCCGCTTCATTGTAGGATTTCTGCCATGTCTCTACCACTTTAGTTTGACCATCTCTGTTGTGAAGTTATGGAATACGAAATAAATAAGTAATTAGATACCTTACCGTTACTGCACTCATAAAGAATGATAAGAATAAGAATAAGAAAAAGGCATATTGCACTGGTTTCGTTAATTAGTGAGTTTATTTAAAGTTATTATAGAAGCCCTATTTTATCAGTATTTCTGCACAGCAGTTACAATGGGCAAACTACATTCAAACAGGATTGTCCCCATTTTTTCTTTAATAGTTACTAACATTAGATATTTTAATGAGATTTGTTCGTAAAACAAAAAATGTGCCTGAATGACGAATTTAGCAGTTGGACATAAAAGTAAACTGAGAGTCACGTGCAATGACAGTGTTTTATTTTATGAACCTTTTACATTAAAAACAAGTTAGAATTTTCAAAAGGTCTTGTGTTTTTGTTTGGGCCCTTTTTCCAGTTTAGAGCAATAGCCCCTCCAAATGTCTGTGCACGTCCCTGACACCCACGTACACTAACACACATTTACAAGTAAAACAGATATGAATGCATTATTTAAACATTTCTTTTGGCTGTCGCAATAGATTGGCACCTGTTCTACGAAAGAGGACAAAGAGGCTTTTGCCATCGTATCTGTTCCTCTGTCCGAGGTCAGAGACTTGGACTTTGCCAACGATGCCAGCAAAGTGCTGGAGTCCACCGTGAGGAAGCTGCAGTACGGCAACATCGCTCAGAACGAGAGGAGGTACAGAGGCGTTAGTGTGACGACTCGGGTGACACGAGATGATGTGCATATTTTATGATCTCATGTGTTATTTTTGCCCTTCATATATATTTCAGGTTTGTGACTAAGCTCCTGGAAGACCTGGCTTTCTTTGTGTGTGTGGTACCAAACAACGGCCAGGATGTTCTCTCTGTGGTGACCTCCACTCCCAACCGAGAGAGGCAGAAACTCATGAGGGAACAGAACATCCTCGCCCAGGTCAGCACCAGTACAGCACTTGTCTAGCTCTACAGAATGCAGATGAATCTTAGGTTTAACTCGGAGTTCAGTGAGGACAGTGATGCCAAGTGAAAATCTTATTATCAGATTACTATTGGGTGATATTTTATAATAACTACAGATTGGCCATAAACAACCAGTGTGTAGAATAATGCAGGCCCTTATGGCATAAAAAGACCACAATATTCATAACTATGTTTCAATTAGTGTAAAATCACCTGAAGCTAAGAGATGTTGTGTTTTTAATGCCTGAGAATGAGCTCTTTGTTCCAACATAGTCCTCTTACTGGGTCTGCCATGTTGCATCGCAATGTTTTAACTATACCTTTTAAGATGTTAAAGATGTGCAAATGTCTGTAGATTGGGGACACTTAACTTGCATTGCCCAGTGTTTACCTTTGCCATTTGACAGGAGACCTGTTATCCAGCATTTCTAACCTTCATTAATAAGACTTTATAGACTGTGGATATTGCAATGCTTAGTATTTAGGTTCTTGGTTGAACAAACAGTATTTATGGGTTTCTGTTCTTCCAGATCTTTGGCATCCTGAAGGCTCCGTTCACAGACCAGGGCGATGGTCCGATGCTTAAGCTGGAGGATCTGGGAGACCAGCGCTACGCTCACTTCAAGTACATGTTGAGACTCTGCTACAGGGTGCTCCGCCACTCCCAACAGGACTATCGCAAGAACCAGGCAGGTTCCCATGTCTACACAACAGAGCTGTCATCAGGCTCATTAACAGGCTCATTATCACGGGCAGAGACTTGACTTGAGACCTGACTTATGACTGGGATCATATCAGTATATAGATTCTGGCAGACTGCCACTGGATGCAATATTGGATCAGAAAAACGAACTCATGTTATGTGGTGATTTATGCCTTTATGCCATATTCACTACTTTTTTAAGTGGGTAAAAGAAAGGTATACCTGCTTTTAACAAATCAACAAAATATACAACATTTTCTAGTGACACATTTTGGAAGATGTGCTCACTTTTCTAAATTAAATTCCATACAAAGTTAATATTTTAGTTATTTTGTGTGCTCATTAATCAAACTTGCCTATTGTGCAACCTCACTTGGTCTTTGCTACATTTTAATTTAGCTAATGTTGCATTTTACAAGCTAAAATGTAGAACGTAGATTAATTGATAGAACCCAACCCCTTGATGAAAACAGTCATTATTTGCTGCTGTTGCCTAATTCTAAATAAATCATGTTGAGCTTTCAGTGGCTAAAAGGCTGTGGGTGAGACAGCCTGATCTCAGTTCACTACAGTATGTGTAACCTTTTGAATCATTTTGCTTATCTTTTTTTATGAAAATGTTATCTTGTTTTACAACTTCTCCCTGGGTGATGGTGAAATGAACACATAGCGATTCGGCACATTTTTATGCTCTCTGTATTTCCCAGACTTTTTTCTCTTAACTTCACCTTACCACCATTTCTATCTTTTTTTATAACCAATATTCTCTTGTGCCACGTAGGAATATATAGCCAAAAAGTTCTCAATCATGCAGTCTCAGATTGGGTATGAGATCTTGGCTGAGGACACAATTACTGCCCTGCTGCACAACAACCGCAAGCTGCTGGAAAAACACATCACAGCCAAAGAGATCGAGACCTTTGTCAGCCTGCTGAGGCGCAACAGAGAGCCCAGGTCAGACATGGACACCTCCAGGAGATTAGACGACCAGAGAGGAAAATGATATAATATATCCAGAAATCTGACACAGTGCATGAAAATTAGCAGTCCTACTGTAGATATGACTTTTGTTGCAATTGGTTGATTTTCTAACACAGAGACAGAACACTGACACAGGAACACGGTATAACGCACAACAATGCAACCGGTACCTCTTCTTACCTACTTAGCTTTACTTTTGTGAAATTTGAAATGTTAATTTTTCTTTTTTGAATAATAAAATATCAATTTGATATTTTTTCCTGAACCACACTTTAGTAGGGTTCAAGGTTCTTTATTGTGAAACTAACATAGCTACAGAGTAATTATGTCGTTGAAAATCTTAGGTCACAGGCTTCTCCAACAATGCAACACAATAATACAGATAAGCAGACAATATTAAAACATTATTAAAATATACTATATTAAAAGTAATACAAAAAGAAAAATAGTTTTTAAAAATGTGAGAAAAAAACATTGGAATACGAGTCTATATACAAGTAATATACCTTAATAGTAAGATAAATGGAAATAGGAAAGGATTTAACAGCATTGAAACAATAAATATATAAATTAAATAAATGTGTTTTCCTACATTATATATTACAAGATGTCAGTTATTGTGGTTCCGCTGCTTTATAAAGAATACACTGTGAACTACATTCTGTAAGAGAGAGTTTTTAGATGGAAATAGAAGAGACAAAGATGTTACAGGAACACACAAACCTCATGTGTACAATCAGTTTATGAACTTCTTTGCTGTAACACTTGTGTGTAAAACATTTATTAAACATGGTGATTCGTCTCTGCTCTTTCAGATTCCTGGATTATCTGTCTGATCTCTGCGTGTCCAACAAAACTGCTATCCCCGTCACACAGGAGCTCATCTGTAAATTTATGCTGAACCCCACCAACGCAGACATCCTCATCCAGACCAAGTGAGTCACACCCTGTGGATCTATTTTTAAGCATCCAAGTTGATCCGTTTCTAGTTCAGATCATCATTTTCAAACATGTACAAACACGTACGCTCTGAAGCATGTGCTGTTTCCTCCAGGGGCCCAGTTGAGAAAAATATATTTTCAGCAGCAGCATCATGCAGAATGTTATGTGTGCAATTTTTCTAGTAACAGCTTTATGTCACACTCTCTCCCTCGCCCTCCCGTCTCCCACCAGACTAATCCCGAACACGGAGACCACCCTGGAGTCCTCTCTGCTGCAGGAGGAGGTGGAGGAGGAGGAGGTGTGGCTCTACTGGATCGACAGCCACAAGGAGCCTCACGGAAAATCCATCCGCCACCTGGCCCAGGACGCCAAGGGCACCCACAAGATGGATGTAGACATTGTCACCTATTACAGGTGACGCTGGAATACTTGCTTCTAGTTCCTCAGTGTACTACTCCTTCCTTCCCCAGCAACACAAAACTAGCTGAAACAAAGATATAACTGTCTATGTCTATAATGCATGATAAACATACTTATGAGGTATTATAATCTGCTATTAGCATCACTTTAACAATCATCATAACACTAGACCATGTGTAAAGAACATCCATAAACATTCATCTGTTTGCATCTTGCAAATTATTTATCTATATATCATATTCCATGTACTTGTATATAGACTCTAATGGCACTATTTTTTTTTTAAATGTGTATTTACTCTCAAAACATTCTCTTTTACTATTTTATTTTTTTTAATCTGTTATATGTCCTATATATTCAAGTTGCACTGTTGGAGGAGCCTGTGACTTACGTTTTTCATTGCCATATGTACACTGTAGCTAATTTACATATGCCAATAAAGCCTTGAATCTTGAATCTTTACGTTTTTTATATAGCACTTTTTTAAATAATACTTTATTAAACTGGGCAATCACTGACATTTTCTTATCTACCATTATCATCCACCTTCTGCAATCTGCAATAAAAACATGTCCTTCTCCTCCCGTAGATACCAGTTGAACCTCTTTGCTAAAATGTGTCTGGACCGCCAGTACCTAGCCATCAATCAGATCTCCTGTCAGCTACCAGTGGATCTGATCCTGCGCTGCATGTTCGACGACTGCCTGCCCTACAACCTCCGAGCCTCCTTCTGCCGCCTCATGCTGCACATGCATGTGGACCGGGACCCTCAGGAGGCTGTGGTGCCTGTACGCTACGCCCGCCTCTGGACCGAGATCCCCTCCAAGATCACCATCCATGAGTGAGTGTTTGTCTGTGTGACTATGCGTGTTATGTACAACTTTTTTTTGTGATCCAACACAAACAGATTTGGCTCCTTTACAGGTATGAGTACGAGTCCACTGACACGTCAACAGACGAGATGAAGAAGAAGTTTGCACACACCATGGAGTTCGTGGAAGAATACCTTAAAGATGTGGTCAGCCAGCCGTTTCCATTTGGGGATAAAGACAAGAATGAACTCACGCTAGAGGTGAAATAAACTCTACTTTCATCCACACTTATTTTCCAAGATACAGAAGTCTTCTTCAGTCTTAAATTGTGCTCTATAAATTAGAATAATTGTGCCACTGTTAAGGTTTATAACATCACAATGTTTTCCCTCGGTCTTCCAGGTGGTGAATCTGGCTCGTAACCTGGTGTACTTTGGGTTCTATAGCTTCAGTGAGCTGCTGCGCCTCACACGCACTCTGCTGGCCATCCTGGATATTGTCCAGCACCCACTCACCTTCATGAACAAGCTCAACAAGAGCCCAGAGGCCGGTCAGTGCACAGCATCAGTGCTTCATTCATTCCGTTGGCAACTTTGTTATTTAGCACTTAAATAATAGATAGAAAGTTGAAACCTAATGAACAGAATCGTGTTTGTTGTTTCCTAGTTCAGTGACTAAGATAATGAAACAAGAGATGGCAGTTCCACATTTTGGTTCCAAATGTTAGGAAAGCTAACAAAAAAAGTAGGATTCATTTCAATTAAAGTACAGAGAAGATCCCAGCGTCAGTAGAGTTTGTAGTTGGGAAATATGGATGCAGCAGTTGATAAATGTATGCAGGAGCAAGGCTATGCATGAACACATCAGGATTTAGAATTCAACTGTAGAAACAGGGAGTCACAGAGGGAGACAAATGGGGTATTAGTCTTGCTTTCAAGTTCTTTTAATAAGAGCTTTTGGTCCAAAGAAGCCTGGGTGTCAGTGAAACAAAAATAGTAAGTTAGAGAAAAAAGGAAATATGAATATATGAGATCAGAAATCACTGAAAGAAAGAACAGATCTGCTTTTGGGAAGGACATAGGATGGATTGCGAAGGATTGAAAATAATATATTTATTTTATTAAAGTGGTTAAATGGTCTGAAAACAATTACTACGGGTTTATTATTATTATTATATATATTATATTATTATATATATAACTTTGACAGGCTTGAGCTGAAATGTCAACCAATGGAAATAGATAGGATAGGCTTTTCAAACACATGCAAGGCAAGGCAATTTTATATATATAGCACCTTTCAGCACGCGACAATTCAAAGTGCTTTACAAAATAAAACAAAATACATTTAAGAATAAATACAGCATAAACACATTATTAAATGACATTTAAAAACAGGCATAAAAAAAAAAAAAGATAATGAAATAAATAAATAAACACACACACCATGCAAAATGAATGAAGATGAATGTTTCTTTTAGGCAACAATGTCCTGCGAACGATTCATGGAGTCGGAGAGATGATGACTCAGATTATGATGAGTCGAGGTGTGCCGCACAGCCTCCCTGACACCTCTCCGTCCCTGCGCTACGGGAGGGGACACTTCCTGCCGGATAATGAGGACATCATGGTGATGGACACCAAGCTAAAGATCATTGAGATCCTGCAAGTAAGCGCTGCCTTCGGGATGTACTCAGTGATTTGTGATGACATTTGGCATTACCGTAATACAAATGTTTTGATTTTAGTATTTCATTCTATTTTTATTATTATTTTTGTTTCCTTTATAGTTCATCCTGAGTGTGAGGTTGGATTATAGGATCACATATTTGCTGTCCATCTACAAGAAAGAGTTTGGGGACAAGACCCTAACGGAAAGCTCTATCTCTGATATGCTTCCTATGCCACGTGAGACTTTAAAATCTCTTCATGCAAGTACTTGAATGTTGTTTTTATCTTTTTAACCAGGTGTTTACTGATCTGTTGTCCACTTTCTTATAGCTCTAGCTCCTGAACCAGACATAGATGAGATTGCGACCAAAGCAGAGAGCATGTTTGCAGGGAGGTAAGTGTCACTCAAACATTCACACAGATAAATGAATAGGAGAAGTAGGCTGATTGTGTTTGACCTGCTTTCTTTGTCTCTTGCCAAATGATCGCATCTGCTTTAAAACTCCTGTCTAAGTTTAATTGCAATTTCAGCTCAGAGTTGAGTGCGGTGGAGCTGGACGATGAGGGCGGCCGCACGTTTTTGAGGGTTCTGATCCATCTCATCATGCAAGATTACCCTCCGCTGGTGTCTGGCTCGCTGCAGCTCATCTTCAAGCACTTCAGCCAGAGATCCGAGGTGCTGCAGGCCTTCAAACAGGTAGCGAGACAGCATTTCACTAAAGCATGTGACAGAATGTGGCGTTAGACACTTCCTGAGATAATCAGTCTGGATTAGGAGGGTCCTCCTAAGGGCCAAACACCAGCTGTTGTAAACTCTCTCACTAAGAGCTTCCTCAGCTGGATGATAGAGCTGCACAAACTCACTTCTAAACAATGCTCTGCCTTTCCAAAGTGCACTTGGACTATCTTGGCAGGGATATGCTTTCATACACATTTTGTTTTTTTAATATCTCGATGTCTGGTTTATTTCTCATCCTTTGTGTGTCCTCCAGGTCCAGCTGCTTGTGTCAGAGCAGGATGTGGAGAACTACAAGCAGATCAAGACAGACCTGGACCAGCTGCGTCTGACTGTGGAGAAGTCTGAGCTCTGGGTGGAGAAGAGTGGAGTCTACAGCAGCGAGGACCTGGGGGTCAGACAGGGCAAAGAGCAGAACCTAGAGGTGTTGTACCTTTTATTAAATGGTGTCCAGCAATAAAGTATAAAAGTTCAGATTTAAGTGAGAGAGATATTTCTCCGCAGGAAGATACTATATTTACCTCAAACATCTCATCAGTCATTCCGCTGCACTGTAAATACTGCACTTGTTTGTTATCATTGTTCATCCAAGCTGATGGAAAGCTGCTTTGTTGGCTTAGTACAAAGGAATAATGCATGATAATGTCTGGCAGAACGGGAACCTGCCCTAAATCAGTTTTTATTAGTCAGGCCCATGTCATATAGTGTGCCTTTTTAACATTATTATTTTTACAATAATGTAATGATGTGAATGATAAAGATCATAGCGGAGACTTTATCCACGACTCTGACAAATGGCTGGAAAATACAGGATGTACTGTGTGTCGTAAGTGACACATCAGAATAGTGGAGCTTTAGTTCACTGTGGCAATTCATGAATTTAAATGAATGTTTTTCATGTATTTATCTTTCCAGGAAGTTGTCCTTAGCCCAGTGCAGGATGGAGATATTAAACCTCAGATTGACAGCAACAAATCAAACAACTACAACATTGTCAAAGAGGTGAGCTCCTTGTCTTTATTTCCAGATCATTTGTATCTATTGTTTCTGTATTGTGTTTGTGTGTAATACATTTGTGTATAATATATTTATAATACACCTCTGTGTCTGATGTGTAGATCCTACTGCGGCTCAGTAAGCTGTGTTATCCCAGTAAGAAGAGTCGTGTGCAGCAGCAGAGGCTCCTGAAGAACATGGGGGCTCACACTGTGGTGCTGGACCTGCTGCAGATTCCCTTTGAGACGGTGAGTAACAAGCAAAACAGCCGAGTGCTTATCTCATTATGTTTCATTGAATTCTTTGCGAAACGTGGTTTTGGTGTTTCGCTGTCTTGCATTCGCTCAAATTTGTCCTATCTGCTCTGCCTTTCCACAGAGTGATGACAAGATGAATGAGATCATGACCCTGGCTCATGCATTTTTGCAAAATTTCTGCAGAGGAAACCCTCAGAACCAAGTTCTGCTACATAAACACCTGAACCTCTTCCTCACTCCAGGGGTATATTTATATGACCTTATTTTACTTTTCACTTGTTGTCATGCCTTCATTTTTATTGATGTCCACTTTGGTAGTAGAGTGTGCAGTAGCATCATCAGAATTAACCTATAATGAAACTAACAAGGTCCAAAACAACAGCAACCTGACATCAGGAACATTAGTCCTAGTTTTTAAAAACAACAGTTTTCTATGTTAATTTTCTGTTACTGAATCATGCCTCCCATTTGTCACCAGTTACTTGAAGCTGAGACGATGCGTAACATCTTTATGAACAGCTACCAGCTGTGCCACGAGATCAGCGACCGTGTGGTCCATCATTTTGTCCACTGCATTGAAACACACGGTAGACATGTGCTGTACCTCAAGTTCCTGCAAACCATTGTGAAAGCAGATGGAAAGTATGTGAAGAAATGTCAGGACAAGGTCATGACAGAGGTGAGATTATAAACATTTCAAATCAAACCACTTTGTACTTTAATTCATTTGTGATGGTTACTGTTTCTTTACTTTGGATCTCTGTCTGTGTCCAGCTTGTGAATGGAGGCGAAGACGTGCTGGTGTTTTACAACGACCGCTCCTCATTCCCGGTGCTGCTGCAGATGATGGGCTCTGAGCGTGAGCGGACAGATGAGGATGGAGCTCTGGCCTACCACAACACACTGGTGGAGCTGCTAGCCGCCTGCACCGAAGGAAAGAACGTCTACACTGAGCTGAAATGCAACTCTCTGCTACCACTGGACGACATTGTTAAAGTTGTCACTGATATCCACTGTATACCAGAGGTAAGGGTTTGATAATGATACAATTTCTCTCAATTTGACACATTAATTTTACCTGAAGTTACCTTGCATCTCATTTCTTTATCCTCCAGGTCAAAACAGCCTATGTGAACTTTGTGAATCACTGCTACGTAGACACAGAGGTCGAAATGAAGGAGATCTACACCTCCAACCATATCTGGAAGCTCTTTGACAACTTCCTGGTGGACATGTCCAGTGTAAGGCTCTGTCAGACTGAAAGGTCATGCACTCTGTCTGATGCTATTCCAACGAGGCAGTCGAGAGACACCGAGGCTTACTCATGTGTTAAATACATTCACAATTCACCTGCAAAGAAAAATGACAAAGCTGTGATGTAAGAGTGAGCTTGTTTTCTCTGTTTCTGAAGGTGTGCAACACTACCACAGACCGTAACCATGCCGACCTGGCCCTTGAGAAGTATGTGACGGAGACGGTGATGGGCATCATCAAGGGTTTCTTCAGCTCACCTTTCTCTGTCAACCACTCCAACCTGCAGGTATTGTTTTCACAATGAGTCCACTAAGCCTTAGGGACGCTTACTCAAACCACGGCTAAATCCTTTGCCAACTTTGAGCTCCTTTACGGTAATATACAGTATATGACAGCAGACTGCCGCCTTTACTCCACCATTGCCTGGGACCTTTTGTTTCATTGCAGATGTTTGTACCTCGATCAGATGCTTGAGTTGTTTTACGCATAATTTTGTACTAATGTTAACTATCAGACTTAATATTGAAGTGTTCAGGATTATCTCTGCATTTCTCTTCACTTCGACCACTTTGAAAGAATGTTATCCCTGCTCTCTCTCTCTTCACAGACAAACCAGTCTGTCTTCATCAAGCTGCTCCAGTCTTCTTTCAGGATCTACATCTGCACCTGGATCAACTCCGCTCAGAAGGCTAATATCGAGAGCTGTATCAAAACACTGGCTGATGTTGGTGGGTGCTGCTAATCTGCTTCAATACCTCAAAATGATGGAGACAGATATAGAAATACATTTAAGAAGTATCGATTTAATGTAATAGTAAGATCTCGCTGACACTACATTTCCCCGACATCTGACCCACCGTGTTGTTTCTCAGCTAAGGCCCGGGCCATAGCTATCCCAGTGGACCTGGACGGTGAGGTCAACACTTTGTCTCTCAAGGTCCACAGCAACATGGTGCAACGAGCAGCCAAGGACTGGAGGACGTCTGCCCGCACCCGACCCCGCAAGGAGCCCCTGGGGGTCCCCGACTACAAGAACATCATTGAGAAGCTGCAGGTGAACATTTTTTACATTACTATGATCCTACACTTCTAGCTGCCCAGAGACGACACAAAGCCACAGCACAGCTTGAAGCCTTATACAAATGTCAGCTTGCTAATGTGCTTGCAATGACACTTGTTAAGTAAGTATAATGTTCATTCTTCAACCACTTTACCTAAACAATTTCATGAGGTCACCTAAAGATGTGAAGCAGGGTTTAAAGGACTATGCATAAGACACCCTGGCTGTTTAAAGCAACCGATGGAATAATAGTTGACAACATTTCACTTAAACTAAATGGTCAACCTCATAATGGTTCTATAGAAAAGGTTATAGGATCACCAGAGGTACGAGGCAACATCCTTTAGGGACCAAGAATATCTGCACAAGATTTCATGGCATACAGTTTCTTGAGATACTTGAGTCTGTACCAAAGTGTTAGGCATTTCCATTCCTCTAGCATGGCTGCTAGCATTGCTACAAGTTTACATTCACAGGATGTTTTGGAGGGCTTTCTGAATGGTCTTCAGCGGTATCCATCTATTCAGGACAGCATCAGATTGAGCCTTAATTTGTGTCTGTCTGTGATGTACAGGGGGTCGTGTCCCTTCTGGAGGAGCAGTTCAGTCCGAAGGTCCAGGCAGAGTTCTCCGTGCTGGTGGACGTCCTTCACAGCCCGGAGCTGCTGTTTCCAGAGGCTGCTCGGTTACGCTGTGAGAGCGGAGCGTTCATGTCCAAGTGAGTCAATGTCCATAACCTCGATATGGACCAAAAAGTACAGTTTTCATTTCTGAGGGACTGGAGGCCACTTTTTAAAGTGTTCTTCTAGCAACGGAGAGCACTAGCGGCATGGTTTATGTAGAGATTTAGGATTGGGTTAGAATTTTTGACAAAAGTTGCAAATTGCTATTATCGTTTCTTATCTGATATTATGTCGTGCTAAGTTTAAGATTGGCATTTCAAAATAGTGCCAGGATGTAAAATGAGCATTTACTTAAACCTATACTTTAAACTACCACTTACTATAATTAGATTAGTTGACGAGGCTTTGGAGAAAAAAATTGTAAGTCAAGAACAATAGCTCAAAATATAATTCAAAAGTAAGAAGACAAACATTTAGCTTTTAAAATAAGCAATAGCAAATGTTAAAGAAAACAAATGTAATGTATATGTAGTCAGTGGACCAACAGATTAGATTTTTACCAAAGAAATTCACTGAAAAATAGTTTAATACATCATCAAACCTGCGGGGGTGCTATTAATCTGCTGCTACTGTCAGACCCCCCTGGAGAGCAGAGAAGCAGATTTCACCTGTAGTGGTGATCAATAAAGTATTGCTTTGTTTTTACTCAAGAGCCAGTGAGTGCATTAGCAGGAAACGACTGTGAATGATGCAGCACTTCTCTTGTCCCCCTGACAGACTGATCAAACACACCAAGAAGCTCATGGACAAAGAGGAGAAGCTGTGTATCAAGATCCTGCAAACACTCAGAGAGATGCTGGACAAGAAGGAATGCTTCCAGGATGCTGTGAGTGGATGGGCAATATGTCACAGAAACCTAGTGTTATTTATGTGATTAAATTATTATTGAAACCCTTTTTAACAGTCAATATTTAGGAGTCTTCAAGGAAATTATATGAATCTCTTACACTCTCACGGCTACATAAAGAAAAGGGGGAATAGGCCATCTTATCAACGTTTTCTGTGAATCTAGCCCTGTCTTTGAGTGCCAGGAAAGCTGTTCTCCCATCAGCAGTGCGGTGTAGTCCTTGTTTTCTCCCAGGTCTGTCGGCCCAGAGCCCAGACTCCCCTTCATCAGTATGCTGTGGGCCTTTCTCTGTTACATAAGACAGGGAGGCACTTGAGGACACACTCACACTGAGAGGGAGAATAGGAGGGAGGAAGGAAAAGGACGAGGAGGAGGAGGGGGGCAAGCACTGAACAAACAAATCAATACTGCAGCGAGTGGGGGGTGCAGGAGCACATCTCCTGCTGCACCCCTCAGAGCCAGGGACTCATGGAGGAGGCTCAGTGTGTGTTTATTTGTTTGCCGAACCAAGATGGTGGAGGGTGGAGGGGGGTGAGGGCCAAAGCACAAAAAAGTCAGGTCTGTAATCACCTTGTTGAAGGTTCAGGAGCGTTTGTTCCAGCTGCGTGGTGAGAGGAGGTGACGCTGTGCAATTCACACAACACTACGTGCTGCCTGGTTTGAGACTTCACCGTGTGCATGAAGAATAATTCTTAGTAAGAAGATAACAACTCAGTTGTTTTGGATTTCTCAGAGCTCAGTTTATTGAACATTGTCCTGAAGTGAACTTGGGGAAAGCATGTGTTGCTGTCCTCTGACCATGTGGAATTTCATGCAGACATGATTATTTTGGCCTGACACTGCTGTCCTGCTTAAGGCTGTTGTTGTTGTTGCAGCACAAAAGCAACTACATAAATACAATGCATATGCCTTCACCCATGTTTCTGTTTAAGTGCATTATTAATACTGTCAAGACTACCTTTGTCAGTATAGTACATGCCAGCAGGTTTCACTTACAGCTGATGGAAGAGTCAGTTTTGTTTTCACTATTTTTGTTTGCTTCCTGTGCCAGCCAGCCAATGTAAATGATTCAACAGTTGTGTGGAACAAGATCTGAGGAATTTAAAGTGGAAAAACAGTCACTTTTATAAGAGTGGCTCGGAGCATTCGAGCAGCCAGACAGTGCGGTAACGATATGTGAAATGTCAGTTTGTGTAGGTGTGTGTGAGTGTGCTCAAGCATGTATTTGTGGCCTCTCTTTGTCATATCCCTGTAGCCCTGAGCGTGGAGCTGCAGCCTCACTGCACAGGAGCAAAGGAGAGGGAGGGAGGAGAGAGAGAGGGAGAGAGGGAGAACGATTGATGGAAATAATGAGAGAGGGAGAGGCAGACAGACAAAAACAGAAGGAGAGAGAGACAGAGTGACAGCCTCGGCAGCAGAGGTTGGTGGCTCCCCTGGGGTGCAATGAGTGGGTGGAGGAGAGTGAGAGAAAGAGATGGAGGGAGACTGATTGAAAGAGGGAGGGAGGGAGGGAGGCAGGCAGCCATGTGAGGAGCCATGTGAGTGGAAGGAAAAAAAAAAAGTGGGCAGCGGCTGCAGGGTGAGGGATTGGAGAAAAGCAGAGTCTGCTCGGTCCATGAGGAGACAGGGCAGGGGGTGCGCTTACGTAACAGCCTGCAGTGCCTGAGCCAGCGTCACGTGCAACATCACGTTCTGCCTCCCTCCCTCCCTCCCTACTCACTCTCACTCTTCTGTCCGCTCGCTGCCTTTCTCTCCCTCCTCTGCCCCCTCCATGCTTTGTCTCAGTCTTTCGCATTTTGTCTGCCCGCCCAAGTTATTTGTTCTCTTCCTCTCCCCTGTAGTCCGCCCAGGCTCTGCTCTCTGTTTGCATGGGTCATGCCAGGAGAGCTGAGTGGGCAGCAGAGGGAAGGTCTGCAGCCTTCACTGCTGCACTGCTCTTATTGGCTGCCAGATTTAAGGGCAGCCTCATAAATGAGTGTGCCCCTGCTTGCCCTAAAGATGTTTGGGTGACAGTTTTTTGGGTAAACAATGGAAATGGAAGATTCAATTTTCAACTTCAAATCATCACACACGTGTACAGCACCGAAAAAGTTAAATGTAAACTTAACTCTTCCTTTATCTCATACTAGTATAATGAGCAGTTGGCAGAAAGCGCATTGGGGAGCAGTGTGGGGGTCCCTATGGACTGAGACACTGCCACCCCAGCCGACTTGTAGCAATAATGCCATACTTTTAAATTTTTCCATGGAGAAAATATGCATGACATACTGTACTATTTTAGACTTGCCATTTGTCATTTAAGAATAAGTTGATATTCTATAATTTTCAGTTTTTCAAATCCCATGAAAACCGAGTCAATAATACAACCCTACCCTGTCGTAGATACTCAACAGCAAGCACATGTGTTGCTGCTGAAGACATACATCTTTAAAAGAGGGTCACAAATGTATAGATTGACAAAAAAAAATCGTAATCACTTGGGCACAGTAGTGTTTTAAATAGTTACACTATCAGAATTCAATAATGCATTTGTTGGGGACTATTTTCTGCTGAGGATTTATACACATTTGATGTGGGGTATTTGGGCACCATGATTGTATATGATGTCGGATTTAACACAATAAATTGTCATGTGGATTAATTTGCCACCACTGAGCTCTAGTTACTAAAGCGCTTACAATATAATATGATTGTAAAATGTGGAAAAAACTTGACACTAGAGCAATTAGATCTGATATATATGCTTTGGACAACATGTTGTCATATTTTCATCAGACTATTTTGAATAGTTTATTGACAACAAGGAAGGTCTGTGGCCCGCTGAAATAAGTTATATCAGGTGTTGGATACATGGATAGAAAAAGTTATTATTGAAAATATATTGAAAACTACAAAAGAAGTATCCTTTTTTTACAAAGGCACACGTTTTGACAAGATTTATTTAAAAACGTGTCCATATTGTAGATGTTCTTTCTGTGAACACATGCATTCATGAAGGATGTAATGTGCTGCCAAGTGTATGTGCATGTTAGCGTGTTTTGTTCTCTGAGGGATTAAAAAAAGCTAGTTATGTAATATAAACCACTTTCACACTCTTTGCTCCCTCTCTTTCACACTCATCCCTGTCATTTACATTCTGTCTGTCTGTCTGTCTCTTTCCTTTTATATTCCTGTGCGTCTCTTTCTTTCTTGCCAAGTTTCACACCACCTGCCCAAGGCAAAGCAGATTTACAGATTACCACCTTCTTGATACTAAGCGCATCACACAGACGCATGTACACACACACACACACACACACACACACACACACACACACACACACACACACACACACACACACACACACACACACACACACACACACACACACACACACACACACACACACACACACACACACACACACACACACACACACACACACACACTCTCCAAGGCGTGCATTGCCATGCCGGCCGTCCCCCTGTGGTTTTCCCTGTCTGTATACATGGCTTAGGTCCATCCACATGCAGCAGAGTCAGGGTGTGACCTTTGGTTGGATTGCATGCCCTCACCTATGGCTCACGAACAGCATCATCAGCAAGTTGGAGTCAGGAAATGCTGGACCTAAATGTGGACAGTCTTTGTTCTCTATTTTGAAAAGTTATGTTTGCTTTTACCATCCTAGTTAAGCTAAGAAGATCCTTCCGTTTCTCCTTCCTACTTCTTTCTTCTCTCCTCTGGCCCTTACTTCACTTGGTCCATCAGTCAGGTGTCTGTTAGCTGAGTGTTATTTTTTGGTTTCCATGGCGATGAAGGATTAGCACATGTTGTTTGTCTGTCTGGTCTGGCTGTGACTGGGCACAGGAAGCCGGTGTACCCTGCATGGAAATGCCCTCAGAGCAGGAGCACGTTGCTTTCCGGACCCGTTAAGTACTACGCCTCGGAGGAAAGAGCCATCCTGTGAAATTGCAAAAGGACTTGACTTCAGGGCCTCATGCATTTGATATGAATGAGATTAGTTGTCATTGTGAACAGTGTTTCGACACAGTTCATAGCACGTTATTTGAATCTGATTGCAGGCAAGTTAAGTCATTTGTGCACAGGGAGGCACATGACAGGCGACAGGGTGAATTGCAGTGTGTGTTTGGACTGATTGCTTATGGACAAAATAATAGAAACACCTTAGAATAAAACAATAGGTTTTTGATTAGTGTCTACTTGTGACTATTGTTCTTCTTTCTACATTACATCATTTTCTCAGCCAATTTTCTTCCTTTGTGTCCCTCTGTATGTTCCTTTATGTTGCTGTGGTAACGCATTTATGAAAAGGTAATCACACTTCTATTAAAGCTGCAAATCTGTAGATGAGTCACTTATGTGGACTATTCACTGCCATTGAGCTTGATGAAAAGGTCATAGGATCACCAAGGTCAGAAATTATATTTCGGTCCTAGCCACAGTGGAGGACGCACCATCAGACGACAAAGCAACGCCACCAGCATGGATGAAATGTATCAGACACAGCAGAGCTATTTCATAGGAAGGTGTTTCTCTTATTTTGTCCACCTTGAATACATGCTGCACCTTACCAGCTAGCCTCTCTGGAACATCACAGTCTTCCTAACACAACCAGTGCCTAACAATGTTAGTGAATCACATGTAACACTTCCATAGTGAACCTGCCGGCTGACACAGATGAACGCTTGTTTGCGCTGCTGGTCTGTTTTTCCCTGAACCACTCTCACCAATTGCTCTCACATGTGGGCTTAATTTGTTTTTCCTGATCTGCTTGTTTGTTTGATGAAAATGTTTTATGTGCTGTGGAATTGCAGCTTGAAAACATCATAAATGGCGGCACGTGATGCGTCAAAGCCACCACAAGCGAACATGTAATCATATTTCCGTAAAATGGATTTAAAACGAGCCGTTCCAATTGGGAAATTGGGAAATTTGTGAGTTCTGTTTGATAGTGCTATTTATACTTTAAGAGTCAAATTCTGGTGGAAATGTTGAATCTTGGTAAGATCAATCTGAAATGACTGAAGTTTGACTGTGGGAGACCTTTCTGTTGGAGCCAAAAAGTCTCCTGCAAAGTTGAAAGACCCCCTTTAAAATCACAGAAAAATAGAGTTGACCTGACGTCACTGTCCTGAATGGCAGCTCCAGCCCTGTCTCTGTCTCCCACATCTCTCTCTTTACACTCTCACTTCGTGTCCCCAAAGTGTCTGAACTAAAACAGCAGGATAATGTGACAGTATGTGTCTTGGTTTCCTGATTTTGTCCTGTTCATAAAACAACTCCCTTGGTGAGAAAGCCTTGCAGAACCACATTGATGTAGATATGTATTATATTACAGACAGCTCCCACTTTAAGCTTTTCAATTTCCCTGCAGCTCTCGGCTGTGGAGGAGCTCACTGAGTCCTTAGAGACTTCTGAAGCCTTTGTTGGATAACTTGCAAGGCATGCCTTTATACTGTGCGTGATCAGATTTCAGTTTTAGTATCATGTGCTAACTACAACAACAATAGACGGCAGAGTTTCAGTTGGAAACTCTGCACTGAACAAAGTGTGTTGACTGCAGTTTCTGCTGGGACTAAATGTTGCTTCCTGATGGTGAAGTTGTTGGATATTACTCGACCCTCACATGGCCTTTGGGGACCTCTGCTTCTACTTTTTCACAGCGTACTTGAACAGAGTTTCCCACTGTTTACAAAAGACCCAGCGTTCTCTCAGGTTTCTGTTGTTGGAGAAAGTAACCCCCCCTGATTGTTTGGGTAACATTCACCTCTTCTGTGTACTGAGTCTTTGCTTTATTCAACCTTGTCTGACCCGAGCAGCTCATGCAGCCCCCCGGTAGTGTCTGTCCTGGTTCAGACTTCGTTCTGACCACCTCTGCCTGTGAGAGCTTTCAGATCACCTAGAGGAGCAAAGCACAGTGCAGGCTTTGTCTTTTTTTCCTCCATGCAAAGTCAGAGAGATCTGCAGACAGCTGAGCTGCGAGTGGGCCAGGGAGGGAGGGGAGGAGAGGGGGTGCGAGGATGCCGGAGGTGGGGATCTGCAGCTCATCCGTAGCGTGGACCCCAGAGCCGCAGTGTGGCGTGCCGGTGCACATTTTAAAATGCCACGACTGTCTGCTCCTCGCTGGGTTTTGTTTGTTCCTCTCTTCCTCCCCCTTGCCCCCACTTCCTCTCCCTCCTCCTTATTTCTGTCAGTTCTTCTACCTCTATTTCTATCTCTCTTTCTTTCTCGTGGCTCTTACATCACCTGACTGGAGTTTTTTTCCTCGTCAATGCAGCAGCAAGCAGATGAGTCAGGCTGGGCTGACTCTTCTCCATCGCCATTCTGCCTCCCCTCTGCTCTCCTCTGCTCCCCTCTCTCTCTGCAGCCCGAGCCAGCAGACTGCATCGCCCAGAAGGGAGGCGAACAAGAGTAAAAACCTGTCACCCCAACCCTTTTAACTTCCCCCCCCCACGGAGCATTTATTTCACTGGTGTTTGAGAGTGGCGCAAAACAATCACTTCTTCGGTAAGAAAAGAGGAACATGTTAAGTCAAACGTGATTTTAATCTGCAATCAGTCCAAGAGGGTTCATTGGGAAGCACTGCTTAAAAAGTGTAGTGCTGAGTTTGTGGTTGCACTGATCTTGTGTCTGTGCATTACTGTGTGGAAAAGAGAGAGGCTACCTCAACGGATACTCACCTTCAGTTCAAGAAGTGTGTCTGTGTTTGTGAGACGGCTCAGCCAGACAGTGCAGGCAGACAAGTGTCTCTGCTGACTACAGATGAGATGGAGTGTTTACTGACACAGGGAGCATCAGCTGCACGTGCGCCTCCATCTTCACTCCTCACTGCACTTAGTTTGAGCCTCTTCAGATGGACTTTACCCGGGTGTCCTTAGTGGCGAGGCTTTGAGGTGCCTCATTTGTCTCATCATGCAGTTCGTAGGGTTGCTGGAAGTATTCAGTAGTGACCAGTTTTTCCCTTTGGATGGTTCAGTTTCAGTGTTAAGCAGAGGCTTTTTTCCCTGTGCCTCATAACTGCTGTTTGCAATGCACCAGCAACAGCTTTAAACAATGCTCGCAAAAGCAGCTACACAGATGAGTCAGATATAGCTGAATACCAATTAGCAATATTTGTCAGCTTTAATAGAGGGGGTGAACATCACAAAAAGAGAACTTACACAAGAGGCCAGATAATCGCTGCCTGAATGTTTGGTCGCAAACACTGCAGGATTGTGTAATGTAATAAGGAGAATCTTATGATCGTGTACTGTATGCCAAGCACAGCAACACTATTATCTGAGCGGAACAAAGGATTGTCATCTTTGACTGACTCAAACACAAATTCCCTGATTATTCAATTAATCCTTTAGTGTAGGGCCGAGTGACGCATGGAAAATCTAATATTACGGTATTTAACAACAACTCGATGTGGATATTTTTGACAATAATGAACCGTTGCCTTTTGGTGCTTTCACAAGATATTTCCACAATGACATTTTTTATAAATATTTATACTGTAAGCAATATGGATATAATGACTAAGTGGGTAAAGGTAAATAAGTGTATACAATGTATTAAAACAGGAGCCTATCTTCAGATTACTAAAGAGATTTAATCAACAAAACAATTAAATTAAAAGCAACAAATAATCACATTTGATGAGCTGGAGACAGAAAATAAAGATTAATGTTTTTAATGGATAAATACATTTAAAGATAATTAACCGCTTGTATCAACACCTCAGTACTTCCAGAGTTTAAGCTTCACCAAAACTGTATTTACTGCAAAGCTGAAATATTTTCCGGTGTTTCTGTTATTTTGTCCACCACCTGTGACTCAGGGGAAGGCAGATTGTCCTTCTAACGTGTTTCCGTGGGAACCACAGGTAGCTCCTTGCAGTCTATTCACTCTTTAGCTCCACCCTCCAATAGATCTGTTTATCCACCTATTCATCCGTCCTTCCTGTCTGTTGATCAATAACGATGTTGGTGGTGTGTCATCATAACAAGGACATTTTGCGTTCTAAGGTTACCATAGAAACTGTTGCTGACCACTCTTGGTCCATACATTCTTTATAACCCATCCATAGACCCCATGATGGCCTCCTCCGGTTGCCAATTAAAATAGGTGGTGAGGAGCACAATGCAAGCATCCACCTGTCAATCACACTTTGATTACACAACCAGCGAGGGGAGCTTATCACTATGAATCCTTTAATCTCGTTCCTGCTCATCTTCGTCAAATGTCATATGAGATGCTCAGAGATGTTAGTGTAAGTACAAAATAAAACTTTTTATTAAATGTGTAGCTACAAAAACTGGTATTGGTTTAACAAAAACATCATCATACATACAAATTCAAACCAGAATCGTGTGTATGTATGATGTGTGTGTGTTTTTTTCTATTTGTATTTGACAACATTTTTTATTTTCATCCCTGTTTTTTGTGCACTCACTCAAGGCTATTTCCACACTTGAAGACATCCATATTGTCAAAGTTGCTTTTTATGAATTTGTATATGTGGTTTGCAAAAAGTTGTAGTTTAGGTTGATTATAAACCTTTACACTATTGTCTCACGTTTAAGAAAAAAGACAACATTGTTGCTGCCATCAGGTAATATTTCATAGATGCTCAGTTAGAATCTAGTTGATTGATCTACAACACTTTCATTGTCATGAACCTGAATGAGAGTCAAAAAATGTCTTTGTTGCTGTGAGCCATTGCTCCCGACAAGAAAGAAATGCATTATGGGAAGACTGTGACAATTCCTATTATGTGGTATATGAAATCTGCAAAGCCCTATGTTGATATAAACGAACGAAATGCAACACATGCTCTCTTGGATGCAATATTTGTTTCAGTGTTATTTTTACAACACTGAAATGAAGTTATTTCGGCTGACAAAATGCTGCTTTTTCAAAAAGTGACAAATATGATATTTCTAGTTTGACGGCAGGTGACATGGATTTAACATCATGATTTTCTGTCTCCGCAGGGAAACGATTTGAGAAAGATCCTGCTCACACGCTACTTTGGAAATCAAAAGCTTCTCTCGAAGTTAGAGCTTGGGAGTGGAAACAGCTCATCTGGCGGCTTTGTCAAGCCGTCATCTGGAGGTACTGAGAAC